TGCTTTGGGGGGGTGACGCAGTCACTTAATGACTGTGGCATTTGCTTAACAACAAAAAAGGTAATAAAATCTGCACAATCTCATGGAGACCTTCTTAAGGACCATCACAACTTATGACTGTAATTAACCAAGTTCATAAGATGAGGACTGCCTGTAGAAGTTCTGGAGATTTAGAAGGTACCCAAGGATGCTCACTCTGGAGGTTAGTTTAATCCTGACACTGTATTTTTTCATTTATTGTAGTTATAAAAATGCTTTTGCATGCATACAAAATATTTTTTTGCACTGGATATATCAGTAGTACCTTGTCAACATTTTGCAATTGCTAGCCTTCTTAGCTTTTTTCCATGTTGGAAATTTAATGTGTGTAATGGGAATTCAATTCTACACTGTTGGAGGTTGGAAAAGATTGTCAGTTTAATTTTTACTTGCTAGCGTCAGTTGTATTAACTTATCCAATTTCATCTCAGTGGTAATAGTTCTATAGATACAGCCTTCTAAATATTCTTCTAAATTACCTATTCTAAAACCAGGCTCGTCAACAAATCAGCTAACTAGGAAAAAACTAGGTTACTTTTACCAAGAACAGTTTGGTAAAAATAAGGCTAGCAGTTCTGGGATGCAGAACTTCAGAAGATCCCTAGAGAGCAGCAAAGAGAAGGGCTATTTGTATTTTTGCATAGCTGCCTTATTTCTAAGCAAATTCTCTTATACTGATACTAATGATAATTGCTTTTCCTCCTTGAGTTTGAAATAGTAGCAATTTGTTTCTTGACTGATTTGCTGGTTCCAACTGTGGTCACTAAATGAGGACTACTTGTATCTTGGTTTTAAAATCTTCCCAGTCTTTTTTTCCCCCAAGCTGGCATTTTTCCAGAAATATTGAGACCAAAGTAGTCTGCCAGAATCACACTCTGTAGGTTAATGGGGGAAGACAGATTATAAAAAACTAAACTAAATTAATATTACTTTCTCATTGCAGATGACACGGGATAAATGACCATTTATCTAGTCAGCATGACTTATTCTAAGTGTATAAGTCACGGCAAAGGTGAATTTTTTTTCAGACCATTGTGTTATCATGGCCAGACTTTCCTGGCTAACACTGGAAGACTTTTGTTCAATTCTTCAGCTAGTCATAAAGCTCATTCTATGACCTTTCACGATATATTTGACAACTTTTCAGTATACTATATACATCAAGTTTATGATTACAGTAAAATGGGAATTTTAGACAAAATGCGTGAGATAAATGAAATTATAGGTTAATTGTAACAGTTTATTAACCTAAGAACCATCAATAATCCACTTTTATTTTTATAAATCATAGACTATAGGTCAGGAGAACATACAAGAGCACATAATCACTCTGAGCATATTTTTTCACTATTCAATCCAATGATTTACCATGTTCATTTTTGGAGAGTTATGTGCATTTTCTTTTTACATTGAAATAAGTGCACTTCAAAGTTCTTTAACTGGTATGAGGACATTGCTTATGTATAGTTTCATGTATTGCCCATACACTCTTTTAAATTAACAAAAAATAATGATTGTTTACTAAAAAAAAAAAACCACTATAGAATACTATAGACCAGGGTTGTCAAATTGGATTTGTTCGGGGATCAGCATTGCAGTTCTCCTCCACAGGCTGGCCGGGGTGGGGGGAAGAGATGGGATGGACACCTCCTGCAGCATCCTGCCAGTCAAAATGGGGTGCCGGGGCATGTGTGGCCCTCCCTGCGCCATTTTTGGCCTGGACAGCCTTGCCCTGCTGTTTTGGATGACAGACTGCTGCAGGAGATTGTCCAGGCTGAAAACAGGGCGGTGGCGGTGTGTGTGCACCACCTGTGACTCATTTTGGCTGGCAGAGGGACCCTGGGCCGGTCTTTTGCTATTTCCAGGCTAGCCCCGGGGGCCAGATTTCAACAGCCTGTGGACCTGATCCGGCTCATGGGCCTTGAGTTTGACACCTCTGCTTAAGACCAGTGGCAGATCTGGGAGTTGAAATACACACAGTTTAACAGTTGCTACAGACCCACTTAACATGGCCAATAGTTAGGGATAATGAGAGTTGTTGGTCAACAATATCTTTAAAAAATTCCCTATCTTCATGGTTCTTAATTGCACTGAGATTAAGTATTTTGCTCCTGTTCTTATTCTATCCTTATCATTGCTTTTCTGCCCCCAGTAGATTTTTCCTTCCTAATATTCCCTGTATATAAACTCTGCAGGTTCATAATTATCACCAAAATAAGCAAGCTAGGTAAGCAATATGATTCATTGAAAGCCCTTTAAGATAGCACCCAAGTGGTATGGGGAGGGAGAACAGCAGAGACCATTTGTTAAGTGAGTTTTCCCCCATTTTACGACCCTTCCTGCCACAACTGTTATTAACTTGGTTAAGTGAATCTGGCTTCCCCACTGACTTTTGTCAGAATATTGCAGATGTTCTGACCCCAGGACATTGTGACTGTGTCTGAATTTTGATCACATGACCATAGGGATGCTGCAATGTCTCAAAACTGACTGCAAGTCCTTTTTTTCAGTGGTGGTGTAACTTTGAATGGGGATTATATGAGGTGTAAATTGAGGATTACTTGCATGGAGATTGGAAATACAACACCCTTCCTCTTTTCCTAAATTTTGGAGATATTCCCAGAATATCCAGATAGCATAGCCATCAAACAAGAGCATCTTGTGATAATCCACAAAAGAGCCGTGGTGGCAGTTAGAATGCAGTATTGCAGGCTACTTCTGCTAACTGCCAATTGCCAGCAGTTCGATAGTTCAAATCTCACCAGGCTCAAGGTTGACTCAGATTTCCATCCTTCCGAGGTGGGTAAAGTGAGGATCCAGATTGTTGGGGCCAATATGTGGACTTTGTAAACCGCTTAGAGGGGGCTGTGAAGCACTGTGAAGCGGTATATAAGTCTACGCGCTATTGCTATTGTGTGCTATCCTTCCCTGCCCATCCTACCTCCTAAGTGTTATTAGATGACATTAGAGGCGAAGTTTGAACAGCTATGCCATTTTTGTTTGAGAAGACTACTGGAACCTACATCTATCGGTATTTGCTAGGTTTACACCATATCTCTTTTTCTTATTAGGAATATTAGTTTTCACTAACCTAGATGACTGACCTCTGGGAAGAACTATGTAACGGTTATCGTTAGCTAAATGAGTTCCAAGGGGCATAATTATTCAGTGGTGAAGACGCTGAACTTGTCATCTGGAAAGCAGACAGCCCAGATTTGCAACCCGAGTGTCATGTGATGGGTGAGCTCCTATTACTCGCCTCAGCTCCTGCCAACCTAGAAGTTCGAAAGCATGGAAATGTGAGTAGATAAATAGGCACCACTTTGGCGGGAAAGGATACCGTGTTCTATATTTTCATTCTGGCCACATGACAGAAAATGTCTCTCAGACAACCCAGGATCTCTTGGTTGAGAATCTGAGATGAGCACCGTCCCCAAGTCGCGGTCATGTCTGGACAGAGGAAAACCTTTAAACCTTAAAATGAGTTCCAAACCTGCCGAGTTTAATGGAAGATCTGGCGATGTCTCTTGAAGAAACTAATGCGTTGAACCCTGTAGGATTAGCTTCCAAATGAAGAATTTTCACAAGACCAAAACAAAAAACAAAAACATTGACAAACTTCTAAAAAAATGTTAAAAATAATCCAACCAAACTATTCATTGGGAAAAAAATTAGCCAGGTCTGATAATGATTAAAAAAAATACTTGCTTTTCACTGCTGATAACCATGACATCAAATGAAAGGGCCAATATTTCAGGATAAAACAAGACCAAAAAAAAAAGGCAGAACATTTCTGAACTTGAGAGAACCATACGCACACTTCTGTTTGAAAATTTTTTATTCGTTTTCTTTTGCCTTAAAAAAGTTATCAGTGCAACATTTCAGAACATCCACGCCTCACCCACCAAACACTGAGCAGTAGTTAATTTTAATTAGGAAATACTGAGTTCTGAAGCCAGTGGGTTATCATTTTGCTATTTATTTCCTTCTCTCAAACTCTGAAAAAAGTCCTCTGTATAAATTAAACAAATAAAAAAAAGGATGTTACTCTCAATCCTAGGTCATCATTACAGCCAACAGAATCGTAATAATGCATCTAAAATGTGTGTCCACAATATATCAAGGGATACATTTGGGAGGGGGGAAAAACACAAGGAAAAAAATATGACATTCTAGACTTGTTAAAAAGGATAATGGTCCCATATATTTATTAACAGGTTAGCAAAAAATAAACCAAAAAAACAAAAACAAAAAAATCCAATGGATTACAATATTTACATGTTATTCGAAAAATAAAGTAGTGATAAAATCATGTCACAATCATTTCTTTTTTTTTTCTTTTTCATTTTTGGTAACCATTACAAACATCCAATCCAGGTATGGAACTGTTTAAATACATTTGATATGAGGCCAATTAAAAAGAAAACATTCAGACACAAAATGTTTATTTATACTTCTCCTTCCAATGTGTTCATCGCATGACTTTCCCTCCCCCACCAAATAATAATAAAAAAGGGGGGGAAACCAAAAAAACAAAACAAAACTGAAAGCCCACCCTCACAAACTGAAATCTGCAAAATTCAAAACATCATGCTTTTTTCAAGTAGCACTTCTTCCACAAATGTAATGGCAGCCATTGTTTTTTTTCTTTTCGCCTCTTTTACACCATCCATTTGAGAATTTTTGTGTGGATATCGGCTTCTCGGCAGCTTCACCCCTTCCCCTTCCCTCAAAGGTAAAAAAAAATAATAATAATAATAAAAAGGAAAAGAAAAAAGGGAGAAAAAAGGAAAAAGAAAAGAAAAGCAACCCAAAGAGACACATGCATTTCTAAAACTAGATTTCACTCAAGTACTTTCTACTTTTGGAAAGTAACCCCATTTATCAGACCATTCTTCCCTGGGCCTGGACCTTCTGCTTCAGGTTCATGCAAGATATCCCAACATTTTTACATGGAAAAAGGAACTCAAAAACACAACTTCTATTCCTGTTTAGGCTCTGCTGTTCCCCCTCATGTGAAGAATGCGAGGTGGCGCAATGAATTTTCTCCCTCCTTGAAGTCCATAAAATGTAGATCTCTAGGCTCCTAATATTGCAAAACTGGGTTACCTGAACTTTAGAACTATGTGGTTATCGATTCCCTCCCCCTCCGACCCTCCTTGTACCAAAACGAGACACCACATTTTTTAAAAAAAGGCAACCATTCTTAAGTAACCAAAATAATAACCAGTGAAAAAATGTTCAATTGGACGAGCAACAGAATGATTCTGAGGACTCTTGGATGGGTCCACAATCTGCATAGCTGTGCTGTAAGTTTGGTTCTTTAGTTAAAAGGGTTTTTTTGTTTTTGAGTTTCTTTAAAAAAGTTACCTTCTTTGATATCTCCACATGTTTAAAACTAAATCATCATCAATCATCATCATCATCTATTCACAAGAACTACTTCTCCTTCCCAGCCCTATCTCATTGGATGAGAGAGCAACGGAGAAATGCGGGGTGGTGGCGGGGACATTACTTTACATGGAAAAAAAAATAATTGTGCTGTATTGTAATCCCACAGGCTGAGCCAACGTAGACATGGGGCAAACAAGAACGGCACAGAGTCAATCACATGAGTCTTAAAAAAGAAAAAAAAAGCCAACCAACCAAGCAACCCAACGCCCTAAAATCATAGCTGAACGCTAACAAACAGCTTACCTGGAATAAAAGATGACAAGTCACAGACAGGTATCTAGGAATTCTCTCTTTTTTGTTTTGTTTTTTTACTAAAATAATTAAAAAAATCACAGTATTTTAAGAAATAAACCCCCCACAGGGATTTTTGAGCACAATTTTGTTTTTGTTTTTTTGTGTGTGTTTTTCTCTTTAAAACTTTGTGGTTTTTCTTCCATTCACCATCTTGCCCAGCAGTCTGTCTTTCTATATATATTTAACCACAATGACAACAGGTAGTACTCACAAATGCAGAGATTTGTTTTGTGTTTTTTTTTTTCATTTTTAATTTCCCTTGGTTAATTCTGAGGTACTAGGAAACAGGTGACTGTTTTAAGCCAAAGCAGTCTTTAACTTTCTTTTCTTTTTTCTTGGTTTTTTGTTTTTTTTGTCACTCTGGAAAAGCGTAGTATGTATATTAAAACTAGAAAAGAAAAAAAAAAAGAGTGCCCCAAAGATGGGCACGGAACGTTTGTCCCCTGCATTCTTCCATCCTTGAGACGCCTCTCTCGCCAAAAGGACCCCGAAGTCTCCAGCGGCGGAGCACAAAGGCAAAATAATGCAAGACACATCTGGGAATTCGATTCTCGCGAGTCCAACGTTATGACCGTGTAACTTCCCCGTTGTCGAGATCCAGAAGAGTCGTGCGGGTGTCATGGAGCCATGGATCCCACCGTCCTCAATTAAATAAATTTAATCTATATACAGACACACGCCCACGCACGCCCGCACACACCCGCACACACACCCACACACAGGTACCAGTGCTTTGAAAATAGATCATTCAGTCCTAAAAGCAGCTTTGATTCTTCCTTGTCCCCCTGCCCGCCCCCTCCCCATTCATCACTGTTCAAGTAGGTTGTCGGAAATCACACCAGGTGCTCATTCACTTTTGACCTCTGCCATCTCTGGGAGTGATTTATTATCAGAAGCAGCAGCAGTAGCAGCAGCAGCAGCAGCAGCAGCGACACAGATGGCAGCTTCGTTCTGGTGGGGAAAGTCCCCCAGTCTCTTCAGGCTGCTTTCCATTTCTTCTGCCAAGGGTACCTTAACCGTCTCTTCCGCGTTCTCTTTGGCCTGGCTTTCCTCACTGATGACCCGGTTGGTTTCATTCATTGCCCTGGACATGGGAGACAGAGGAAGGTTTTTTTTTTTAAAAAAAGGTGACAATTTGGACATCCCGGGGACCTCTCGTCTCTTCTTGCTAGGGCAGAGCCAACATGACTTAGAAAGTTGGAAGAGGAAACCCACACCGGTCTTAGGAATAACTTAGCCAGATCAGATGGCCTCTGAGCCTAGGGATGAGATGATACCTTTGCACTCCTCGAATTACGACCCTAAGGGAGCATAATGCCCGTGACGGTTGTAACGTTAATGGAACCGCTTTAAACAAAAATGAACTTTAAATGAACCCCATCTCTCCTCTCCCCATTAATCGAATGCACGGGTCGTTAAGTGCTCATGAAATACCTCAGGGATGGGGAAAACCATGGGGAGCCAGTGCAGGAAAGGACCACCTGGCTCTGGCCACCCAAGGCCTCCCCATGACCACTGAGGTATCTCATATTCCCCTTCCCATCCCTTAGGGCCACCTCAGTTGCGCACTTATCTTTCTAAGGTCGGCAGAGCTCAGGGCTATGTGACAGAAAAAATGGCCTTCAGATGCAGGCGAAGTTGTTCTCTTTAGTTCTTGTGTTCCTCTGCCCCCTTTGGAAAAAGCTTGTCCCTCAGACAATGGAGGCCTGCAGGGGTGCAAGATCCCGCCCCCCGAATGCTTCCATCCCCTTTGCAAAAGCTTTTGGCGCAGAGGAAAGAGGCCTGCAGGGGGCGATCTCGCGCATCTGCAGGCTTCTTTCTTCCACATCAAAAAAACTTTTGTAAAGGGGGTGGAAGCCTTCGGGGGCGCGGTCTTGCGCCCCTGCAGGCCTCCATTGTCTGAGGGACAAGCTTTTTCCAAAGGGGACAGATGGGCATGAAAAACAGCTTTAACCAGGGTCTGGGAAGATGGCCACTTTTCTGCCACGCGGCCCTGAGCTCTGCAGATCTTTGAAAGGTAAGTGAGTGGATCAGAGACAGGGCGGAGCCGATGGGCTAGCACACATCAGGACCAGTGCCTGTAAGGACCCTGAGGGACGGGGAGAACATCTCCGCGGCTGGTTGTAAGAGTGAATGACTGCCATGGTGCTGCAACGTTTGTAACCTCAGAACTGGTTTTGGGGGCAGTGTTGCAACTTCAAACCATTGCTAAGTGAATTGTCATAACTCAAGGACTACCTGTGCAGGGCAAAATAAGGTGGGTGTTGTTTCTTCCAAATGGTTAACAAGCCCCCCCTTAAATCAGAGGAGAGGTAGAGGAACAAAGGCATCAAGAAGCATCTGTCTTCATGCGCTCGCTGACCTGGAGGAGCGTCGGGGACTAAAATATACAGATATTTGGTTCCCAAGGCTCCTGTGATTTTGTTTCCGTTTCCTTTTAATAAGGCTGACAAATTAGACTTTGCGAGATTATGGCGATCTGTGGGACTTAAAAGTACCTGCGCTGAAGAGAACCAATTTGTTATAGTGGGATTAAAGTGCCCGCCAAGGCCGGAAACTGGACACTATGAGTCCTAGTCCCACCTGAGGCACAAGGCCAGCTGTGTGACTTTGGGCCAGTTACACTGTCTCCTAGGCCAGGAGAAAATGGAAAGCCACTTCTAAAAAATTTTGACGGGAAAACTGCAGGGAGTCTAGGCAGTTACCAGGATCTGATTCAAAGGCAGCATTCTTTATGTGTGTGTGCGTGCGTGTGTGTGTGTTTTCTTATGTTTTCGCAGATATTTATATATATGGTATTCAGCTTTGTTCGGGTATTTTCCCATGTCATTATAGTTGTGCTTTTAAAGTTGTAGCAACGTTTCGGCAGAATCTCATCTGCCATCATCAGGCTTCTGTATGGTGTTCGTCTGTGAGTCCCAACCAATCACGATGAAGAAAAAAAAACATTCTGGCACAGCAGTAGGCTAGCCCCAAATTTAAAACAGAAACGGCTGTGAAAGTCTGACTCACAGACGAACACAATACAGAAGCACAACTATGATGATGTGGGAAAATACCCGAACAAAGCTGAATACCATAAATGTAAGTACCCACGAAAACTTAAGAAAACATACATACATATACATACATACATATATACACACATACATAAAGAATGCTGCCTTTGAATCAGATCCTGGTGACTGCCTAGACTCCCTGGGTTCATGGGTTAATCATAAAATACAATTTGAGAGTTGCTTGCTTTGTGGAGGGGTTGTGTCTGCATGTTGCCAACTACACAGTAGAAACAATTCCATTCTAGAATATAATGCATATATCCAAATAATGTCCAAGAACCCCTGCCCCCAAATATAGAATACAGTCAAATATCTACTATACAATCCACGTTGGGAATTACTATCTAGTTTAATGGATAAGAACATTTGAAAATGTTATCCTCCCAATGAAGGAGGATATTCAAAGGCAGATGAAAATATTATTAAGTCTGTAGGGAGAAATTAAGACTTTTGTATCAAGACTGCTGTGTATTTAGTCCCATTCAAATATTCGATACAGATAAATATGTTAATAATTACATTTTGTGGAAGGAAAAATACACAGGATTTCTTGGTAAGCTATGCTGAGGGTGGCTTTAATTTTTCTAATTTTCAACAGTATCACTGTGCTTATATATTAGAGATTCACGTATTAGAAGGAAAATATTATTGACTATTTACTGTTAGTAAACAGAACACAGTTTTGAAACGACAGTCCAATAACCCAACATGTTCTTTGTTTTCATTACAGTAAAACCCAAAGCTATATACGGTAAAAATACAGTTTCCTACAGTCAGCATTAATTTATTTTCAGCTGGCTGATAATAAACATGCTTTGTTTGTAGCATTTGCTTCACAATATGCAGCATGCCAGCAAAAGGCCCCAGTCTTCCCTTTGCTGGTAGAAGAAGTGGTAGCTTCTGGATCCACTTACATGCCATGTCTCAGTACATGCCGCTCCCAATCAGAACCTTCAGCAAACGTTCGCCCGCAAAATTCACAGGGGAAGCGTTTTTCAGGAGGACCGTTTTCTGAAAACCTCATGTCCCCTTGGAGGAAAAGAAGCACATAGACATGTATCAATCTTAAGAATAAGCCACAGTTCTCTGAAGGAGGCAGAAGGCAGAAACAGAAAGTAGTCTGAAAGTCCAATAGGGAAAAACACGTCACGAATTTCCCTCCTTGAAAGCACCCGTGAGAATATGGGAATCCGATATCTTTAGAGAGGGACATTTTCATTGGGCAAAGAATGTGAATATCTCGTGCTCCTCTTTGAGACATAGACATTCATGAGATGAAATGTCACCCTTTCTCAAACCCAATTAAGCAAAATCTGGATTAGATGGATAGATAGATGGATAGATAGATAGATAGATAGATAGATAGATAGATAGATAGATAGATCTATAGAGTCCAGATTTTGTTTAATGGGTTTAATGGGAGAGAGGGCAACATTTCATTTCAGGAATAGAACATTTCCGATTTACCAGTCTTGTCTCCCACTTTTTATACAAGTAGTCCTCAACTTACGACCACAGTTGAGCCCAAAATTGATGTTTCTACGTGAGAAATTTGTCAAGTCAGTTTGGCCCCATTTTATGACTTTTCTTGCCACAAGTTGTTAAGCGAATCACTGCAGTTGTTAAACAAGTAACATGGTTCTTAAGTGAATCTGGCTTCCCCATTGATTGTGCTTGCCAGAAGGTCACCAAAGGGGACCCCCGGACACGGCAATGGTCGTAAGTATGAAACAGTGGCCAAGCATCTGAGTTTGGATCACATGATCATGGGGAATGCTGCAAAGGTTGTAACAGTGAAAACTGGTCATGTCACTCTTTTTTGCCATTGTAACTGTTGTAATTTGAGGACTACCAATATCTACCGTGGTGCTTAACAGTCTCTGAACCCTTTTAAATTTTCAATATTTCTGCATAAATAGGATCTAAAATGTGACCTGTTCTCCACACAAGTCCTAAAAGTAGACACAGAGAACCCAATTAAACAAACACACTTCCATTGAAGATAATGACCCAAAGCTACATATTTGCATATGCATCACTTGTACATTACCAATCATACCTGCCTCATTGTTCATTAACCTCACTATCAAAGCTGGCACCAGACAGGGCATAGAAAAGCTCAGAGAAATAGTGCAAGATCGGAAGATGTGAAGAGACCTGGACCATAGAATTGCCAAGAGCCAGACTCAACTCAATGGATATCCTCCTCCTCCTCCTCTTCTTCTTCCTCCTCCTCCTCCTCCAATAGCCTTGAAAATAATTATAGGTTCCAAAGGTATGATTTTACTGCCGCAGCTCAACTATTTTAACTATTGTTAGCTACTTATACTATTATTAGAACAATTACTATCATGTTTCCCCCAAATAAGACCCTGTCTTATATTTTTTTTGCCACCAAAAAAGGCACCACGTCTTATTTTCAAGGGGGATGTCATCCACGGACTCATCTCAGATGCGCATGTCGCCCCCAACTCCTTTTCGCTGTCAGAGGCCTACAGGAACTTTTTCTGTGGCCAGAAAGACTTTCCTGAGGGCCTCTGCAGCCATCCTGAGTTCTGTTATTGGCTGCAAAGGCCTTCAGGAAAGCCTTGCCGGCTGCAGAAGAAATAGGCCGGCAAGGCAGGTGTCAGGGTGTGCAAGGCCTGGCTGCAACTGTCCAAAGGTAAGTAGTAGGGCAGCTCCACCCCACCCCATCCCCACCCTAGCTTAATTTTCACCCGTGGATCCTGGAGTGGGTGGGGTTTTAATTAGGGCTTATTTGGGGGGTAGGGCTTATATTAGGTGCATGTGTAAAAATCAAGCTAGGACTTACTTTTGGGGTAGTTCATATTTTGGGGGAAGCGCAGTACTATTGTTAGTACCTGCCATACTCTATTACTTAACGATTTACTATTCTACTATTTAATTATTGTTAGCTAGTTATATAGTCCCTATATAAAATAACAATCCCAGAAGTTATGGGAGAATTATGGAGGATCTCCTAACTTCTAAAACTGTTATTTTATATAGATACTATCAGTCTCTAATGATAATTCTTTCCACTTGTATGAATTGTTTTGTAAAATATAAGGCACAGAAGATACAAAAATGCGGAAATGCCTCCTCTTTGCCTGGTTGACAGCAAATCAAATAAGCCAGCACTACTGGTTACTTGTGAATGAACCTATTGTTATAACAACTGAAGAGTCACTTAACAGAAATATGATTTTTAGAAGTTCACTGGGGCTAAATTTACTTGTTCTAATGTTCCATGAGCATCTTTTCTTCACTGGAAAGGAAGTAAAAGTTCCTCTGAATACAGAGTAGAGTTTGATTCCACTGAACTGGATGGCGATTGTGCCACATGTCAGTGACAGATCAGAGCCACAGGTTTGCAGCCATATGATCTCCACCTATAGGGAAGGCATTCCTTGTAGAGTAACGCTCAGTGAAAGTATTTATTAATCTGAGAATGCCCTGCCAATCAACCCTTCGAGAGTAGACCAGCCAAATGCTTCTCACTGATTCTAACGGGGGAAGCGCTAATTATCGGCTTAAGCTCTGGCTGGATGTTGTTCTGCAGAACATAATGGAGCATTCCCAAGACCCTGAAATCACAGTGGACATTCCTCCTGGCTGAAATACGGGAGACCAACGTGAACCAGAGAGCTGTCTGCCAAACAAAAGATGAAATGTTTTCTCACAAAATTAAGACGATTGCCACACAGGCCATTAAAAATAATTACTTGGACTATCTTGCTTGATTTCTTTTCACTGAAAACGAGACAGTACCATCTGCTCTAAGCATTAATTCTGTAGTGGGGATTATCCTGAGTAAAAAGAAGAACAGAATGCCAATGTCTCTCGCTTCCCAGAGTCCTCTCAAAGTATATAATGAAAAACAGTCGGATTTTGCTTCATTTAACTGCTGATCTTTGCTTGCCTCATTTCCACTTCATATTATGCTATGCACACAACTCATGAGCCAACCTAACCCACTTAAAATTTACATCTTTTGCTTTTCTGTGTGATCTCATACATGTATATTGCATGCCCTTCTTTCTCTACAGTTTTGTTTTTTTGTGGGGATGGCTGGGAGAAATATTGTCAAATTCTTCCCAAGACTTTTCCAAACACATCAATGTGTTTTGGTTTCAGAGGATACTGGACTGCAACTCTCTGAAATCCAATTTAAACTATCCTCAAACAGTTTTATTTTTTTTAAAAAAAGACTTCTTGTTCTTTGGAGGTTATACTTTTTTTTAAATTCCCCAAATGTCAATCTATCCGCTTCAGTTTGGGTCCTCCAAGCAAGCAAATTCTTGGAGAGAAAGGCGAAGGCCGTCTATAGTTTTACAGACTTTGCTGTCGAAAGGTAAATCATAGTAGATAAACTCCCATCATTTAACAATTTATTTCTCCTAGGGTTTCCCGCAGGTTTTTGAAGGACCCAGTACTGGAAAATCTTTATAAAATGTCCATAGCTCAAAGCTAGTAAGACAAAGGGATCTGTCCCTGAGGTTCGAGGGTGCTTTGGTTTTGGTGATTTCCATCTTTTGTTCTGGGTGGGGTTGCCCTACCTCAGACAGATCCCCTGTGGGTCCCTCCTGGATTTGCAGCTTCTATTTGAAGAGCAGGTGGCAGCCATAACTTTGCGTTATGCATCACGTAACTGTTCTGGACTGTGAGGTCTTTTTCATAATCATGCCTTAGTCATCTCCTACTTGGATTACTGCTACGCGCTCTACAACAGGCTGTCCTTGAAGAGTATTCAGAAGTTTTGCTTGGCCCAAAATATAGCAGCACAGCCAGTTCTGGGTGCCAGTTGATCGGTATCTGTGCTACCTCTGCTTTAAGAGCTGTATTGCTATCAGGATGCTTTTGAGTGCAATTCAAGGTATTCTTCAGGCCTTAATGGCTGGGCTGGACTACCTACCAGGTTATCTCTCTCTAGTGGTGTTTACCCATGTTGTGGGATCCAACAGAAAAAGCATATTCCAGGTCCTACCCATGATCTAATGCAGCAAAGCTGGCTGAGGAATTCTGGGAGTTGAAGTCCACAAGTCTTAAAGTTGCCAAGGTTGGACACCCCTGATCTAATGCAAAGGTCTTCAAACTTGTTTGAAGAAGTTTAAGACTTGTGGACTTCAACTTCCAGAATTCCTGAGCTAACGTAACTGGAGGAGGAATTCTGGGAGTTGAAGTCCACAAGTCTTAAAGCTGTCAAGTTTGAAGGACCCCCCCCCCCCCCCCCCGATCTAGTGCCATCTGATTTAGGAGCAAAGCCTTTTCTATCAAGGTGCCCATCCCCAGGAACATGGTTTCCCCACAGACTGAACTTGTCCCAAGCCGGTTGGCTTTTCGCAAGGCATGGAGAACCTGGTTTTGTCGTCAAGACAGAAGATAGAGTGGGTGAACCATTTCATGGTCACAGTTGTGCTAAATCAGTGTTCTCAATTACTATATTGTTTTATGCCATTCCTGCTGTTTTTAAATCTCTATGGCTTTTTGCTATGTTTTTAATTAGCTGCCCAGAGTTATGCATATGAGAAGCGGGGGGAACGGGACGGACCTATCAAAGAAAGAAAGGAATAAAAGCTGAGACTTAAGTTTGTGGAGAACAGGTCTATCAACAGCTGTAAGTCAGACAAGCTAAGAATGGAATGTAACAATACAAAGGGAGATATTGTTACAGTTAATTATGATTCCCTTATGAACCAGCATATGTGAAATGCCAGCGAATTAGATTGTGGCTTCTCACTCACTGTCTGCCTGCCATCGGGGAGGATCAAATTCACAATCAAAGATCAGTAGTGCAGGAAACGGGCACATTTCAGGTGAAAAGAGGACATAAGTGATAAACAGCAAGTCCTCAAGACAACGGCCACGCCACCTTGTTTTGCCTTGTTTCTCCCCCCCCGCCACATAAAAAAAAGTTTACTTGATATCAACGTAATCTTTATGGTGTTACACAAATACATTTTCCTTCTGGTCATGTGCACAGATTTAAACATTCTTTAAGAAACCCAATACTTTGGGACAGTGAGTGCGTATGCCCATCGGCAGTTCCTTTTTGTTGAAAAATTAATTTTATTTACGGAGGATCAGACCCATGAGTTAAGCTTCAAAGAGGTTAATGTTTAATTATACTCCTCAAATCTGAGATCTATTCATAAGGAACTGGGGATCTGTTATACCTGGACGGTTGCAAAAAAAGAAACAAACCAAACCCATGGTGATATATTCGTGGAATGATGAACAGACTGTAAAGGTTTTCCCGAACAAACTGTCCTTTGAACAGGCTCCTGTTTGGAGGAAAGGCAAGTCAGTTTGTATCTTAACATGACTGGAAGCTTTCAAAATGTTTCTCCCTGGGACTGCTGGACGGAGAATTAAGCAAGACAACCGCAACACTGACCTCTCTCTTCTGTCTCGGGGTTCATCTCCTCATCCTTTTCTTCCTCATCACTGCTGGAGCTCTCCTCTTTTCCTTTCATTTGCTCCAACTGATCTAAGTTAACCCGTCCAACCAGCTCAAAATTGCGACTCACCTTTGGGGAAGAAAACAATACAGCGTATTTGCAAAAAAACGGCACTGTGAGTGCTACTCTTTTAAAGTGGCTGCTTGTTTTTCCTGGGAGTAGGACTCTCCTCTAAGGAATGAAGAATCCAAAACAACTGTATAGTAGCCAGGTATGGAAACAACAGGTTGAAAACAACTGTGATAACACTACACATGCTTGAAATTCCACAGACCAATACTCTTCGCACTATTCCACAACAGGGAATCTGCTCCATAGGAACAAAGCAAAGAGTTGAATATCTGAAAAGGGTTAAGTAACAGAGACAGATGGTTTCTTCTGGCAAGGCTTACATTTGCCCTTATTTGAAGAAAGATGGAAGTGCTGATGAGAGAAAAGGCAGAGATAAGAGAAACAATGCCCTCTGGAACGATCTGCTCCCAAGATACCATTGGCCTGGACCCTGTTGGCCTTTAGAAAGGCAATTTTTAAAAAAGTGCTTTCTCTTCAGGGTGGGAAAATTGGAGTTCTTGTCTGGAGCAAGATATGAATGCAAGTTTCTGGTTGCCGATTAATCTCTTAGAAGTTAATTGAAACCATTCATCTTGTTTTGATTTGGGACACTATTGTACGCCATCCAGAGTTGCAAAGTTGAGCAGCTCTATACATTCTATAACAGGGGTCCCCAAACTTGGCAACTTTAAAGCTTGTGGACTTCAGTCCCCAGAATTCTGGGAGTTGAAAACCGCAAGTTGCCAAGTTTGAAGACCTCTGTTCTATAAACCCCAGAAAACGCCGCTGATAACTTTCTATAGGGTGGAGCAGGAAGCGGACATACCCATTCTGAACTTCCAAGTCCCAGCACAGTCGAGCAACAGAACATACCGAGAGCTTAATTGGACCTCCCTACATTGATTAATTGGTTGATTAATTAAAGGCTGTGTATAATGACTGGATTTCCAGAGAGGCTTGTTATTTCTCACGCAACCAACACCTCCACCTCTTACAATGTTGTTGGCTCGCCACCCAGTGCAGCCATCATGGGAAGGAATGGTGAAAAACCTGGGGGCCCTGCACAATACCTTAGAGATACAACTATAGGGCATGGGAACCAAAGATGGAAGCCTTCAATTGACTCACTTCTGGCAGGGGGGAAAAATAAACTGTTTTGACCAGCTTGAGATAATATATACACCATCCTCTTTGTTCCATATATTTAACTGAGCAGAATGTATCACCATTATTAAGGCATCTGATAGGAATAAGTATGGTCCTCTGTACAATTAAACTTGCAAGGGGGCCTTTCGCTGCATGCTTCATAACGCAACTCAATTTATACAACGTTGTGACTCTTTGGGATGAGACACCTGCTAACAAAACATTGGCAGGACAGCTTGGGCAAGGGTGGTGAATACAGAACACCTTCCTAATGTCATGTATCATGTTACCATCTGGAATATGGTGTTTCACTTTGCATCTCAATGAGTACACAATTAAACAAATGTGTGCAGAGACCTTTGTTACTGCCTGCTGCTTGCAGCCTATCCCAACAGCCCATCTTCCGAGGCAGAAAGCTTCTGAAAAGAAGAGGTCCCATCTTCTCATCTGATGGATTGTAGGGGGTGAGATTTTAGGCCTGTACCGCCTTTTGCCATTTCTAACCATTTAAAACAGCCCTTTTAGCTAAAGTTCCTGGAAGCTCATCACCCTGAACCAGATTGCGAAGCGGTGAAGTCGGTAGCTCGTACTGTTAAACGTAAAGAGTGAAGCTGACACTCAACACAGTCAGCACTGGGATTTGTTTCTTTACACTAGAAACAGGCACGCAGTCAAGTTAAGGCAATGTTTTTCCACCCATTTTATCACAGCAGCTCAATATAGAAGGGCAGGTGTTTTTTGTTTGTTTGTTGTGTTTCCGGAGTTGCTGCCTTAAAAGTACTGATAATCAGAAAACAGTGATTGATTTATGCTAATCTATTTTCTGCCACACGCTAACAGCAGGTTTACTGTCTGGGTATAAAGATCCACTTCCAACAGCGAGTACATTCACTCCCAATTAATATTATTATTATTTTTAGAGAAGTGAAACGTTTTCTTGGAGGGGGGCAAAGGCAAAGAGGAAAAGGAGTTCAACAAGCTGTTGAATCAGTTAGCATGCTACTGGAGTATAAATTCAGAAAACCAAGATGAGGGGCATGGAATGAGGTCTCCACAGTGCAACGTTTAATGGCAGGTTATACTTCTTTCGCCTAATAATGATTGATAGATTTTCCTCTTTGCATTTACCTCTAAACCCATTTTAAAGGCCCAGAGCCCAAGGTCTGCACCCTGTGACAAACATTCCCTTAATTATGGAAAAATGTGTTCAATTCATTAGGTGCATATGGAAAAAAACCGAGTTCCTTTAGAAGAGGCTGGCCAGCTGACATCTCAAGTAAGGTGAGACCCCTCCCTTTTCCTCCCCTCCCCCCCAGGTCAAAAGGCCTGGGCCTCAGCGAGCAGAAACCACCACTCACCTTATGTTCATCGCGAAGGTGAGCATCGAGCTCATCCGTGTGCTTGGTCTCGTAGTAGCAGAGTTGGCATTTGTAAGGTCTCAGCTCATTGTGCTTCTCTATGTGTTGCTGTAGACTCTCATCGCTGGAACAGGTGAAGGTGCACTTGTCACAGCGGAAAACGACTCCCTGTAAATATTTGGACAGCTTGGAACGGCAAACTTCTATGGGAACCACTCGCTCTTCTATTGGGGCGAAAAAGAGATGATAAGGAGAAAGGACCATTAACAAGGAGAGTTATTTCTGCTATTTCTCCAGATGCCCAGGGATGGTCACTTCAGTTTATTTTTCTAGTACAGGTAGTCCTCCACTTACAACCATTCATTTAGGGACCGTTCAAAGTCACAACAGCACCCTCCCGCCACCCAAAAGTGACTCATAATCATGTTGCAGCGTCCCGGGTCATGGGATCACCTTTTTGCGACCTTCTAACAAAGCAAAGTCAACAGGGAAGCCAGATTCACTTAATGACCATGTTACTAGCTTAAGAATTGCACTGATTCGCTTAACAACTGTGTCAAGAAAGGTTGTAAAATGGGGCAAAACTCACTTAACTGTCTTCCTTAGCAACAGAAATTTGGGGCTCAGTTGCAGTTGTAAATCAAGCGCTATCCGTGATGAGCCACGGTGGTGCAGTGGTTAGACTGCAGTACTGCAGACCGCTTCTGCTGACTGCCGGCTGCCTGCAATTTGGCAGTTCGAATCTCACCAGGCTCAAGGTTGACTCAGCCTTCCATCCTTCCGAGGTGGGTAAAATAAGGACCCAGATTGTTAGGGGCAATAGGCTCACTCTCTGTAAACCGCTTATAGGGGGCTGGAAAGCAGAGAACTGAGACAGAAAATGGGTTATAGGCGGCTATTGCTATTGTCATTAAAATGCCGCCTTTTGCCCGTTTTTTGTCTCAATTCTCATCAGAGCCATACAAATTAGGAACATGGTTCTAGCTTTGCAAATATGGCCAGACTGTGACCTTGGGAGTAAATTTCCCTCAATTCATTCATTATTTTTGAGTGCATACACAGCAGCTTATCCAGTTAGTTACTGAATCATAAAGCCAATTCATTCATGATAGATGGAACAGGTAATGCAAAGGCTGTTCACTTCTTTTTTTGTTCTAGCCATGATTCCCCAAAGACGGTCCTGAAAAATGGGAAGTGTTTTCCAAATGCTGCTCTTTGCCTTTAAAAAAAAAAGGGGGGGGGGAGGATGGAATGCAACAGGGCAAAGTGGAACAATAAACATATTAACTGGCTACATCGGACTTCAAAATCGTTGTAGGAGGACATTTTTATTTCTACTGGAAGTTACTGCGAGCCTGAACACTATTATTCCTCGACAGAAGGACTTGAAATTGGATGCTAGTGCATAGTAGCTGAATCAGAAATAATAAAATTTTGACTTGATTACAATACAGGCAACAGCTTTTCTCCAAAACAGATGCTTGTTTAGCAATGTTAAGACTTTATACTGTCGATTATTGTTGCAATGAGTGGTTGCTGTGGGGCTTTTTGGGTTTTTTTTTTTTGATGGCATAAAATGGTGTTCTAATCAAATTTGCCACTTTGTTTTTTTGGATCCCATTGGTCTTCGATTAGTCTCTTAATAGCTTTTCTCCCTCTTCTTCTTCACCTGTGTATATTTGCCAACTGAAGACAGCCTTTCAGGGATATGATGAAATGCCTTGTTGTTATTAAGGTGTTTCTCAAAAATCCCCATTGTAGCTATCAAGATTAAGAGCAACTCCTTAGAACGAGCTTCGAAAGAACCAGCACACAGGAAGACCCGGTGATGACCCGGGGCAAGGCACAGAGGCAACACAGTCAGTTGATAGTTTAAAATGCCCCTTTATTGCTTCATCTTTCCCTCAAACGCTCCAACGTTTATGGCAGGTCCCAGAGCAAAGAGCTCTCCCTCTCTCTCTCTCCCACACACACACACACACATCACACACACACTCTTCCAGCAGCCTCTGGCTGTGAGTAGTCCAGCAAAATGCTGTTAGCACAATAGCTTCAAGGCAAGAAGTCCAGCGGGTCAAGAGAACCAGTCAAGGAATCCAACGAAGCAAAGGAACAAGACTCCAGACACTGGCAACAGCACACCAAAATCCATAAATTCAGTGTGTTAGGCATCCAGAAAGTATCCATGATATCACTCCGAGACATCTCTCTCCAAGGTTGAATTTATTAGAAACAGATCTAGCATGTCAAAGGCAATTTCCCAAGTAAAATTATTTTCGCGCCTTACACAGAATCCACCTTCTCTCCTCCCACGTGTACACTTCATAAATCACGGGCACCAATTAACTGCCACTGGAATTACTTAATACGACATACAGAATAACCTTGAACTTTTCAATTCCTCCAACCCTCTGTGAGAGAAAAAAAAATGTGGCAGCTGAATTTTAAAGCTGACACAGTGCTTGTTCCAACAAACGCCCCTCCCCACAGTGTCTCCTTAAGTCTCAGTCCCCAGGCGTGCTTTGTAAAGAGGGGTGGAGTCATTAGGTCAGCCTGTGCTGTTCCCGCCTCATCTCCACTCTCCGTGCTCAGGGATCAGGAGGGGGTCTGTCCTTGCTTATTGCCTGAGCTCCATTGCTCATCTCCACTGCCTGCCCTCTCTTCCCCACTCTCTTGGTCGTCCTGCTCCTGTTCTTCCCTGCTGGCAAGCCACCCCAAACCTGAGGGACCCAGAGCTGCCTCGTACTGCTTCTCCCTGAGTTCCTCCAAAGTCAACGAGACCACCTCCTCAACCTTAACCTGCCCTATCTCTGGCTCGTCCTCCTCCATGGACAAGCTCCAACAGGGCCATGACAGACTCTTTGAAATCTACCAACTTCATGCAAAACCCAGCAGAACTTTCCTTTCCTTTCTTCTTTCATGGAAGAAGCGGGGGGGGGGGGGCAGAGAAAATACACAGCAAATAATTCTTATGGCCTATTTGCAAGAACATGCATCTGTTTCTAAGGTTCTTGATATAAATAGTAATAATGTGTGTGCAATTCCTAAGTTTAAATAAAGGCATTTCTTACAAGGGAAAAAAAATTGTGTGCTTTAATAAGTTTGAATTGTGCTGCTTCTTTGGAAGAACTAAAGTCTAAACTACTAGAAAAACGATTAAAATTATGGAGGTGGCAAGAATGGTTAAGGCACCAGACTAGAAAGTGGGAGACTATGAATTCTAGTCAGGAAAGGCAGCTGGGTGATCTTGGGCTAGTCACTCTCTCTCAGCCCAACTCATCTCCCGGGATTGTTATTGTGGAGAATATAGGAAGAAGTAGTTGTATTAGATATATTCACCCCCTTGAGTGATTTGTAAAAATAATAAAGGCAGGATACAAACAAGCAAACTCTAAGAAAATCATTGGGATAAAAGGTTACAAGGAAACAAGTAAATAAATACAGGTAGTCCTTGACTTAAGACCACAATTAGAATTGAAAAATTCATCATTAAGTGGGGCAATTGTTAAGCAAGACATCGCATGATCGTGACTTGCAACCTTCCCTTCCTGCTTCCTCATTGGCTTTGCTTGTTGGAAGCTGTCTGGGAAGCCCGCCAATGGTAATCACGTGACTGTGGGAACGTTGCAACAATCATAAGAACTGGCTTTCAACACTATCGTAACTTCAAATAGTCACTAAACGAACGATTGTAAGTCGAGGACAACCTGTAAGCAAGCAAGCTACCATGCATGCCCAGTAGCAAAGAGGAAGAATGATGTTCATCTTTTGAAAGAAGTCAAACAAATAAGCTATTCCTGAGTCATGTCCAGGGATGGGATTCAATTTTTTTAACAATCAGTTCTGTGGGTGTGGCTAGGTGGGCGTGGTCATGTGAATGGGCAGGCGTGGCTTATTTTTTGCAGCACCCCCCCCCCTGCACTCCATTTTTTTTATTTTTTTGCCTCCTGGGCAAAGCAGTAAGACAGAGAGGGGAATCCCAGCACAGCCGATCGTCGGAACAGCTGATTATCGGGAGGAGGAAAAAAAACACCAAATACCTTAAGGAGTGACTGGGCAGGGGAGAATGCAATCATCTGTCGGGCATGCGTGCGATGTCACACATGTGCGATAAGGGCTGACTGGGCGGGGAGGGAAGGGGCCAGCCAGGGGTACAATTTGCTGGTTCTCCAAACTGCACAGAATTGTAACAACCGGTTCTATAGAACCGGTCTGAACCGGTAGAATCCCACCCTTGGGATTCACAGCCCCAAATAATGCGGAAGTTTATGTTCAGTCAAGAGCACTTTATCAACAAATGTTATATCTCAAGGTCTCCTATGGAACCATGGCACCTATGTAGGTTATTAATTATCTGAGAAGTAGCCTACAAGAAAAGCTTAAACAAAGTTAACTGTTAGCTGCCGCTTTAAGCTTGCTTGTGCCTCGCTACCATGGTGATAGTCTACCATGAGATAGTCTGCCAGGAGAGTAGTTGGGAGGGAAAAAATGAAAATGAATGCTTAGGGAAAATGAAAGTAACTGCTGTATCTCCCTGAGAAGCTGCCTCAAGGTCACCTGACTGGGAAAAGAAGGCAGCTGCATACCAACTGACCGTTCCGAAAACACTTTGCATGAACCTGATTGGTCACGGAGGGGTGGTAAGTGATGGGAGGGAGGGATAAGTTGGACTTAGGGATTTTGGCGCACGATTCTCCATTCTGGCTAGGCATTACTGCACTACATTTGACTTCTAATAAAAGTATACCTTTCTCCCAAAATGGAGCCAAGGATCGGTTCTGTTTAGATGTTTAAGTGGTGGTAGGTCTGACAGTAACTGTAATTCAAAAGCCAGATCAAACATTTACTGGGCAGCAGATAAGTACTTGGTTTGCCTTGTCAAAGCACCTCACGTCACGGGTGACCCAAGCACTCATTTCCCCTTTCTTCCCATTAAGAACAGCCTGAGTTCAGGGCATGATATAAGTGCATCACCCGATGCATTTCCTGTGCACAGAACAGGAAAGGATGGCATGCCTTCCTCCTCCTTGCTACAATGAAAGCAGAAATCACTCTGTAGCCATCTGAACTTAATGGCCGGTTCTTTAATCACAGAGATCTTAGCTCATCATCAAATGCACCTTTCATTTCAAATTGTGGTCTGGGGGAATCTGAATTTCCTATTTGCTGCTTATACCTGCAGAGGAAGTGTTTCCGTGAATTTAAAAGAAAAATTGTATTAATG